AAAGCATTACATACTTACGGGCATGCACAACCAAGGAGGCAACTTGTAGATCACTAAAAGTACCGGTCATGTGCTGTGTTGGGTACTAAGAGTGCCAAATAGATTCATCCCGTCCGTGCACAACCCAAGCCTTAAATTTCTGACTTCATCACCAAATTTCCCAAACTTCATATCAATGTTCAATTCTTCCATAGCGGGGAGTCAGCTGGATGCTTCAACATTCTGTTTTTCTTTCTTCCCTTTGCATGCCACCTCAAGTTTTTAGCGTCTTTTGGTGTTGAAAATAGACGCTTAAACCTTGGAATAATGGGAAGATTCCACAACACCTTAGCAGGAGGTCCCTTTGTACCGGCATTGCAACTCATGCGCTTGTAGCGCGACTTCTTGCATCGTGGACACTCCTCCAATTGTTCATATTCATTTCTATAAAGAAATACAATCATTAGGACATGCATGTATCTTCTTATACTCCAAACCGAATGGACACATGAGCTTCTTTCCATAATAGTAAGACTTAGGAATTTCATTCCCATCAGGTAACATCTCACTTAACGCGGTCAACAAAGAAGTAAAACTAGTGTCCGTCCACCCATGCTTCGACTTAATGTTAAAAAGTGTTAGCACGGTTGATAGTTTGGAGTATTTTTTGCACCCAGGATACAAAGGCTTTTTAGAAGCCTCCGATAATGACTCAAACACGTCACCTTTAACATCATGCATCATCTCATCCACCTGATCATCCTCAAATCCATTCTCATCACCATTATCAATAATATATTCATCATTCCCGTATTCCTCGTCCACACGAATCTCATTTCTTTTATCATGCACATCATTCCCATCAGCATCCCCACTATACTCTCCTTCTTCACCGCGCCAAATCCACACATGGTATTTAAGCTTAAACCCACGACAGGTTACATGATCTCTAATGATTTCAACACTATTGACCACCTTCACATTTTACAATCAACACAAGGACAATAGAGGCAATCGACACCATTCTGCTCTGATAAGATGAAGCCCTTTCGCAAAACTCTTAAACCCCATAAAAGAATTCCAATGTATCACGTCTACCATACATCCAACCACAATCCTTCTCCATTTAATAAATTGTCTCTAAACATAGCAACATATTATGAATAATGTATAATTGCTACATATATTATGTAAATCAAATTCAAACACACACCATGCATATACCATTCATATAGTGAAAAAATGCATGGATCCAAAGGGTCCTTATCACTCTAACCTAACCCATCCTTGAACGTCTAATCTCACTAGTGAATGTATGTCGACTTTCCAATTTTAAGGAAAATTCGGCAACATTTCCCCCTAGTTCTCCAAGTTCACGATGTAGATAATTACTTACCCACATATGTACCCAGAGAACATGGTGAGGAAATGGTAAGCCAAGATGTTCCTTAAAATCGAAAAAAGAAGACATACATTCACCACCTAAGTGAGAGTAAACTTTTAAGAACAGTCCCAACAGGGGACTATTCAAGACTTTCTCTTAATGAGAAAGCCCTGAACGGGTATCTAGGCATATGATGATGCAAACATTCTATATATATAGTTGCATTTATTTGTTATTAAACAATACACAAGTTGTAATAGCATGAAAAAACTTTTATTAACTAGATAAAGAGAAAGAAATATAACTTAGTAAATTTTATAATTCATACCAATGTATCAAGTACAATGGATATACACTTTCTAACTTCCCACTTGAGCTAAAAATGTAGTCTTCAAGCTAAACTTGAGCTTCAAATATGAATCTATAAAAATAAAAAAAAATAAACAAAACTTAGTAATTAATTAATACCTACATACATTGCTAAAGTATAACGCATCCTTAATCAAACTAACAATTGCTAATCACTAATTTATTTAAAATTAAGAGTAATTAATGTAATTTCACTAATTTATTCACTAATTTATAACACAATTGCTAATCACTAATTCAACCACATTATATTTTACATACCAAAATTCAACTAACTAACAAGGTTACTAATCTCTAATTTATTCAAAATTTCTCATTAAACCACCTAAAATTCACAGAAACATATAATATAGACAATTTAAGTAGCAACCAAAATTGGGGTTAAATTATATTGAAACCCTAGCTAACTTTAGTTTGCTCATGTGCTCAATAATTGTTTAAAATGTAAAATAAAATATAGGTAGAGAATTGAAAATAATTGTTCAAAATGCCCAACAAAATTAAAACTAACCCTAGATGGAAGTGGTGAAGATATCCACCATAATTGGAAGTGGAAGGGGAAGAGAGCTGGAGGGCAGAGGACGGCGGCTGCACGCAGGTGGTCGGTGGAGCAGGCGGCTGTGGTGGATGTCGGGGCTACTCCTTTGCATGCGCTGCTAAAATGAAGAGGGAAGAGGACTTCGCGGTGGTCGTTGGAGGACGCAGCTGTGGTGGAAAGGATTTTGGTGCAGGTGGCGGAAGTGGTTGAAGGGGTACCCGTGCGCACAGGTGGTGACTGTGGTGGAGGAAGGTGGTGGATTCAAGAGAAGGGATAAATGAAAAATGCATGGGAAAATGAAAAATGAAAAGCAAGGGGAAAGAAAGAGAAAGAAGAGAAAGCCCGGTCTTTTTTTAATAAAAAATTCGCACTGGTTTGAACCGGTGCTAATAACATCATTTTGCACCGGTTTGGTTTGAACCGATGCGATTACTCTTTCACTCAATCCCGCATATTTTTTTCGCACCGATTTCTAAAAACTGGTGCGCATTTTGCGGTGCTCATTTATGTTTTCTACTGGTGTTTTTTTTTTCTTTTTTTTATAAGAAGAAAAAGGATTTCATTAATGAAAGATAGCCAAATGGCACTTGTAAATAATTCCTAGGAAAATTAGAATTCCAACACAAGTAGAAATCACCTTAGAACTAGATACATCGCAGATTCGATCAACGGTCGCCTTAATAAAAAAAAAACTTCATCTGAATTAATACAATATGTGAGTTAGCACTAACTCGGCTTGAGATCCACTAATGAATAGTTGTTTGAGTGAAAATACTCATATGGTCTTCTAGATGCTTGCGGAGATTATGAAACCATAAATCTTCAATGTTCGGAAGACAAACCAAAAAAGAAATTAAATTAACCCTAATAGAATAACCACCATCTCAAAGATGGGATCCATTTATTGAAAGAAATTAAAAAGTTTTTTGGGGCTTACCACCGGTAAAAACACCGTTGGTAGCCCCTACAAAGATTCACAAAAGAGACCAGAAGAAAAGAGATGAAAGAGAAAGAGAAAAAGGAGAAGAGTGAAGGAAAATCTTCAAAAAAACAGAAAAAATCTAGCAATAGAGGCTAGAAAAACCCTCTCAAGGGAAAAACCCTAGAGGGAACCAGAAAAACCCTCCAAGGAGAAACCCTAGAGGAAACCTTAATTTTTTAATTTCTTTATTGATAAATGTTACTATCATAATGATTATCCGGCTAAGGCTAATAGATTTAATACAAATTTGTTTACTCCCTTTGTTCCTATTTTTTTCCCATTTAACTTTTCATGGTCTGCAAAACACACGTATTGAATTAATAAACGTAATAAAATAGAGAAAAAAAAAACAATAATACTATTCTTAATAATCTCTCCCTCCCTTGCTCCAAAAACTCAACACACAATTGCTGCTAACTTTAACAATCATATTGCGATGGACTTGGATTTGGATTAGTTAAACTCGACACACTTTTTTAGTTAATCTAATTGCATTTTCACACTACAAATGGAGATACTATGCCCATATAAATAGACTTACAACTCTAAAAACTAACAAGCTATAAAGTAGGAACTAATAAACAAGTGGGGAACTAATAAACACTGTACTCCACACTAACTCAAGCTAAGTACTTTGAATTACGTTCTAATAATAAAATTGATATTTAGGAAAATAGTATGCCACTAAAGTTCACTAGTTTTAGAGCACTAACTAACAAAACGTATATATCTCCATACAATCTTTGATCGATGTAATTAAAATGGAAATATATATGCATAACACATGCAAGTTGCATGGGAATTAAAACCCTTGATTTGAAAAGTTGAAATAATATACAACTTCAATTCAATGGTTGATGATACCATTATTTGGCTTGTATACACCTTCATGAAAAGAGGGGTTTGATTCAATGAAGTATCCTTTCTACTTCTTTAGTAGTCCATGCAATTACTAAAATACATATCGGTCAATATTGACCCTTTTCTACACTGTATAATTATGTATAGCTAGCTAAGCTACCTATACGTACTCACTATTTAATCTTGGAGCATAATAGATAATCTTCATATACACTAGGTATAAACATGTGAGATTATATTCATCTACTACAAGTTCATTATAATACTCCCTTGTTTTTTTTAAAAGTGTTACAATTATATTTTTGGGTAAACTACTCCTTCCGTCTCTATTTATTTGTCCCGTTGCAAATATTTGAATCTAATTTTAAAAACTTTTGAACACAAAATCCATTATTCTATCAAAGATAACGTTTGCATGTGGGATATAACATAATCGACAGATTCAACACAGGCTAGTCAGGAGGTGGAATTAGCAACAATATCTAAACTAAACAGCAGAAGAATAAATAGAAACAAAAAAATGTCACAACTTAATTTGTACTTGTTTGTAAATGTAAATGCAAAATTTGAATGAATTTTAGTATTTTGTTGAAAGAAAGAAGATTTTAATGATGTTAGAATGAAGGTTTATTTGAGAAATTGGAGAGAGAAATGAACTTGAAATTTTGATTTTTTTTTAAGGCTCAATTTCATTATATATAAAGTCACACCTATTCATATTATTTTGGTTTACGACATATATGTTATTTTGCTTTAATTTGTTATATAAGTTTAAGTTCCATGAGCTTGGTACTCTAGGATTACCTAATACTAAACTGAGAAAGTACGTAAACAAAAAACTTTTGTTTCTTTATTACAAAATCACTCGACCGTATCTATACGCAAAGTATATTCTAAGATTCAACAGTACTATTCATATTAGTAATATTATTACAATATCATATAACATATCCCATATATACTTTACAAAAAAATCCAAAACTATACAAAATCCAATAACAAAAAAATCACTCATATACTCCAACCCAAACATTCAGTAACTTTACAAGATCGTTCATGTTGTTAATAGGATAGTTTTACGTAAAATAGCTACAATAATTTTGTAGCTACTATATTTTGTAACTATTATAATCTTTTTCTCTGATCGATATTGTGTCGTTAATCTTTTTTTCCTAAGCTTTCTTGAAATTGACCAATAGCGGTTGATCATTAAGATCCAATAATCTCCTCCCATCATTGTCAACAAAAACACCAATATCTCCACACATCACCTTACAAAAGTTACAAACACTAGGGCAAAACACTATCTTATAATCATATGTACCACTTCCAGCCTTCTCTATCTTAAACCAATTACTAACCGTTTCGACACCCGGATTCCCGATCTGTCCTCCAAATCCTACGTACCGCCTCCCGGTCTCCTCGTCGATGGCTAACTGCCAGATAAACGACGGGCCGGAGGGCACACAAAGGGGGACGGCATCGAAGACAATGTTAAGGTCAGTGGAGACAAAAACTCTTTTGTCTTTAGGGTTGACCGAGTGCAACTTTAGAGGTATTCCATTGTTGAGTTCTCGGGTTTCTTGAGCTGCGGCGAGAGGACACAGCTCAGTGATGTTCTTTGGTTCAACTGTCAAGCCTCCACCTCGGCCTCGGACAACCGGGAGGATATAGTAAGGGGAATTAGGACGAACGGGGTGGCCATCGATGTCGAGGACAGCCGGGTTAGCCGCGGTGGTGGTGTGAAGGGAGAGAAAGAAGAGGAGGAGGATGGTGGCTGATGAGAAGATAAAGTAATTCATTCTGTTGACTTTGGGTTTGGTTTGACCTTTAGAGATATTAATAGATGTGTGAGAAGAATGGAAGATGAGAGTGGTATTTATAGAAAGTGTAAAGACAAGATGAGCTGTCAAGGATGATTAACTAATTATATACAATAATTTATTTTATTAGTCAGCAACTTTGACCAGATCTTTTTGTTTTTTTTTTTTGAGGAACTATGACTAGATCTAGTTATGGAATATATAAAAATTAAACAAAATTGTAAATTTTTTTTAGAGAGGATAAACATAACGTATTCGAGTAGCGAAGTCCATCCTTTCTCAATCTTCCGTTTCATTTTGGTATTCCTATTTTAAAATTTGAGAAAATCGAAATTAATAAGATATGGTTTTACTTTTTAATTAACAATAATAAGTATTCCTCTATTTTAATTTTCCCGCTTCAATTTGATATTCTCATTTAGCATATATGATAATTTATTCAAAATATATATATATATATATATATATATATATATATATATATATATAATAACATTAGCCAAAAAAAAAAAAAAAAAAAAAGAAGGTGTTGTACAACAAAACTAATTTAAACTTTTTTAATATATATTGACGGGTGAGTTAAGTTAGGGTCTTTGGGAATGGCGGTAGAATCATATTAATGATTAAATCATTAATTTAATCCTTTAATTTGACACTAGGTTAAAATTCCGTGCAATGCACATGTTAAATATTTTTAACAATAATATTACAAAATATAAAGTATATAAAAGATATTTAGAAATATTTCATTTGAGTATATATGGTATATAATTGTCAAATTGAAAGAAAATATCATAAGGTAAAAATAATTTACTTAGAGATTTTGAAAAAAAAAATAATAAAATAAAAAAGACGGGAATCTTTTTTTTTCAAGATAATGACAATTATCATAAAATGATTTGTTTTTAGTATAAGTTAATAGATAAATGGTATATATTTCGAGTTCGATTAGTTATGACTTAGATTTCGGTGGTGAAACACTAAAATGGATATACCAGTACAATTCTAAGATATACGCCGTATAACTTGTACTACTACTAGTACTCGTTAATATCTTAGATTAAATTAAGCACCGACCCTACATTATTTATATATAAAGTAATTGTAATTTGACCATTTGAGAAAGTCTCCAAAAGATTTTCTTCTACATTTTAAATATTATAGTAGGCTAAGATAATCAAGAATTTAACTGGATATTTTGTGAGAAACTATCAAATGTTGAAAGAAATTACCTAATAAAAGGTAAAATGTTATAAGATACTACCTTTTATCGAATTTTCATAATTGACTTAATTTTACGACGTTGATCCACCTTAAAATTAAACACCTCCTAAACCACCGTGAGGGTGGTTTTCAAGGTGGTAAGGTTATTTTTGGGGTGGTTGGAGAATATTCCGAGTTGGTAAGGTTAAATTAGTGTTTCGGGATGGTGGTTTTTGGGGTTAGAGGTGGTGGTTTGGGGGTTGAAAGGTGGTTTAGGTATGGTGGAGGCGATTTCAAGCAAGTTGTTTTAATTTTGGAAATGAAAGCGGTGGTTTTGAGAGTGTTTTGAGGTCGGTGAACGGTTAGGTAATACTTTACAACATTTAATCTTTTCTTAGGTGTTTTCTTACAACATTTTACCTTTATTAGGTAGTTTAATACAACATTTTTTTTTATTAGGTAATTTCTCACAAAATTTGGGTTTATTAGGTAGTTTTTGACAAAAAGACCTTTTAAAAATAGTAATTTGGTTTTGGTTAAGCTTCCAATTCATTCACAGCTATGCCTTTTGTAGCTAGTAGGTGTTTGATCATTAGCTTTCAGCAATCAGCAATGAGATGACGCTTATCCCTGATTGTACCTAAAGAACCTCAATGGATTAGAGGATTGAAATATATTCGTATTTGTTTTCATGCAACTTAGCTAGACCGAAGGCATATATTATTACGAAGTATATAACAATATAAGGGCCGAGAGGTCCGAGGCCAACTTGAATTGCAATTGATTATTTGCGCTTAAGATAGGTACATGGGTGGTGAGCAACTTTCGCCAGTGATGTGCAGCATAGTTCATATTCCTGCACACATAATCTAGTTGATTGGTACTACATAGACAATGTTCGATGAAACGAGCAACCATGCATCATGCTTAAGGGATTTCTTTAACTAGATACTCCTATGACCTATTCAAAATGTATAGTTTAAGCTATTAAAATCATTTACAATTCGTAAAAAAGAAAAAAAAGAAAAATTGCATCAAGAAAACCTGCTTTAATTTTTATTAAGCCTAGTAACTTCTACCATGTGCGTGTAAGCAAGGTAGATCGGAAATCCTACATCAAACATGATGTAAAACATCAATCACCAAACATTATGACAAGGGGAACAAACATTGTTAGGGTTGATGAGTGTGTAGCAAAAGCAAATTCAAGATCTAGGGATTGAGAAAATAATAATAATAATAATAATAATAATAATAATAATAATAATAATAATAATAATAATAGGGATTCGGAGTAAGACAAGATAATAATAGTGATGGACACATAATATTTAACATGAGAAAAATCCTAGTAGAGACAAAAATTTTATGGACAATGAGCATCCGAAATAATTCGCTATTTATTAAAATAGGAGAGTACAAGTACCATTACATATATGGGGTGATTAAAGACTAGTATTGTACAACAATATAATAATATTATAACTCTCACTATCTATTAACTATTACTAAAACAAAACGTTGCTGACGTCATCATTGTCCACATGTCACTCTCATAATAAAAAATTTCCTGCCTAAATGCAAGGATGATGTCATCTTTTTTTTTTTTTTTTGGAGCTATCATATTTAATAACTTTGAAATTTGAATATTAGAAACTTCTACATTACAACTACAACCTATCAATTTATCCTTAAATAGAAAAATAATTTTAAGTAGAACACTAATAAATAGACTCCTACATTGAAATATGTATTAGGCGACGTTAAACAGGTATTATATCATAATTTTTATGAAAATCTAAAATTTTAAAAGTAAAGATATTTTTGTACAATTCAAGGTGCATAATTCTTATAAAAATAGATTTTATGTAAACCGCGCATCGCACGGGTTCCAACCTAGTTAGGAATAAACTTAGATCACAAAGGATCGGAGCAATATAAAACGAATAGTGGATTAGGGAGATTGCGTGTAACGTGTAAGAGCACTACAAGAATCAGGTCAATTTTCAACGGAATGGTTCCGACGAACACAAAATTCCGTCGGAAAAACCGAAATTTCCGACAAATTCAAAAAATCCGTCGGAAATTTCTGACGGAAAAAAATTCTGTCGGAAAATATGAACTTTCCGACGGAATTTCCGTCAGAATCTAATTTTTATAAAGTAAAATAAAAAAAAATAAAAAAATAAAAAATAAAAACACCCAAACCCTAAACAGTCAACCCCCCTTCTCATTTCCGCCTCTTCTTTCCCATACTTCTTCCCCTTCTCATTCTCTCTTCTCTCCTCTTATCTTCTTCTCGATCTTCTCCTTCTCTCTCATCTCTTCTTCTCAATCTTCTACTTCTTTTTCTCTCTCATCTCCTCCTCCCTCCTTTGTCCTCTTTCTCGGTCTTCTTCTCCTTCTCCCTCCTCTTTCTCTTATCTTCTTCCTTTTCTCTCTCTCTCCATCCTCCTCTACTCTCTCCGTCCACCACCAACATTATCAAGCACCGTCAACAACAACGCCGCTGCAACGTCAACCACCACCACCATCAACTGCCCATGAAAACCCCGACCACGGCCCTTATTTGCTGCGTCCACAACTCTAGATCGAATTCGACCGCGGTATAACAAATTAATGGTTTTTTAGGTCGAATTCGACCATGAAAGATCCATTTCTAGGATTTTCATGGTCGAATTTGACCATATGAACCTAAAGTTGAAGATTTCATAAGGTATGTTTACTCTTTTCTATTAATTTAATATATATAGTTTTTTAAATTTTTTGGGTAGTGTCGGTGGTGGTCTGATGTGGGGGTAGTGGTGCTAGTGGTGAAGCGTGGTGGGTGTGGCTAATGTGTGTGCGTGTGGTGGGTATGGCTGATGTGTGTGCGTATGGTGGGTGGCGCTGGGTTTGTGGTGGCTGTGGGCTTAAGGGGGTTTAGGGTTAGGGTGGGGGGATGGTTTAGATTCAGGCTTAAGGTTAGTTTGGGGAGAGTGACAGTCTGATGGTGGTCTAGGCATAGGGTTAGGGTTAGTTAGAGGCTGATGGTGGTTTGATGTGGGGGGTAGTGGCGGTGGTGGTCTGATATGGGGGTTAGGATTAGTTAGGGGTTGGAGGTGGTGATACGCCGTGTCAGTGGTGGTGCGGCGTGTTTTTTTGTTTAATTTGATTGAAGCATTTTTTGAAGGAATTTCCGTCAGAAATTTCCGGCAGAATTGGTGTCCGTCGAAAATTTCCGACGGAATTTTGTCGTCGTTTTTCCAACATAATTTCTGTCGGAAAAGGTCGTTTTTTCTATAAAATCTTTTCCTACAACTAGTTCCGACGGAATTTAGGATGTTTCCGACGGAATTTTTCCTTCGAAAATGGCCTGTTTTCTAGTAGTCGAGAAACAGTCAAAGAATGTATGAGAGATTGAAATATCGTAGGAATATTGGAGGATGATGTAGCTTAGGTGCATTACAGGCTCACAAATAATTCCAAACACAAATGTTAATAAATTTTGTAAGGAGGTGGAAGAAGTGTGTGGAAACATTTATACTTTACATGTATCAAGAAGCTTCACAAGCATTTACCTATATTCTTCCACAAGTTTCGCCAATTTCTCGCATGCAAGAATTTTCAAGAGACCTTAGAATTTAGAAACCTTGAGATACAATTGGTTGGGCTTATGGAATTCGAGCCACACTGCCTCCATCTCCATTTTACTCGCTATTACCATTCAACTATATACATGCGAGAAATATTAGGTCAAATGGGTAAAATGAGATGGAAAAAGTAGCTAGGAATTTATCTATACTTGTCGATCAAGCCGAATGCTACAAAGAAATGGTAGCTACTACCTTCATATAGATCAATACTAGCAAGGAAAATCCATTTGTA